TTTTTTTCAAGTAACTTCTCTAGCATCTTAATATTTTACCGTTTCACCAATATTGATGGTAAAAAGACTTCCGACCAGCTAGAATTAGCTGAAAACGCCTGGATCTCGAGTTGGTTGTCGATTGAACGTCCTCGAACCTTCAAAACTTCCACATGGAGTGGATCTCCGATAAAGAGATTCCGATACTTAAATGAGTAAGTGTAGAAGATGAAATCTAAAGAGGAAAAACTATTTGTAATATAGTGTGCATAATAGATAATGTAATATTTTTTTTCAGGCATACCTCACTCTATTTTATAGAGAGGAAAAACTATTTGTAATATTTTTTTTCAGGAATACCTCACTCTATCTTAGGGTCTAAGTCGGGCGAGTAAACTCTCCAGTAGCGAGTGTGTGAGCTACCTCAGTTGTCAGAGCTGTCAGAGTCATTCGAACAATCAGAAACGGTTATGAGGCGTGGACCACTCGAATGGCGCCACGTGGTTTTACCCATATTATGAATTGTTTAATTCCCCTAAGTTTCCTCTTATCCATAAGTTCTCCCCGTTAGGTGGCCTAATCGTGGAGTACTTGACCTCAATTACCTCGAGGTGGGGTGTCATCGACAATGAGCTTCGTTGTCCTGTCTGTATGGTCGACCCTCAACCAGATTCCTCTCCCATTTGACCTTCGACTAGGCCTTTCGAGAGCCTCTATTCGACCCTTTGGTACCTTCTAGCCTCCAGTGCTTTCTTTGACCTGAGTAATCCTCTTTCTTCCTTCGACAATGACTAGATCGGGTTGGTTTGGTTGTCTCTCCGATCCAGTCGACCTGGTGGGATTATCCCATATCAGTTGAAATTTGAATATGCACAATGGTTAATTGTCACTCATATTATTTGTGGGTACAATATTGATATGTGTCCATAAGATTAATGGATAAAGGGATAATGTATGGTGAAAATGAAGTAAGTACTTTTAGATTCTTGAATTTTGTGCATTATATTTGTACAATTTATCTATATCTACATGATCCTCACTATTGTTTGAGAATACAATACTTATTACCAAACCCATGTATTATGTCATGCAAGCTACTAAGATCTTATGGATTTTTAATTATTATTATTATTTTTTATTTTTTCTTGATCGACATGAAAATATACTCCTTTAGACAACTTTACACATATTTGACCAATTTGGATATATCATAAAACCTTTGCCTCCCCATTAAATTAAAGATGTCTAGTCTATTTCATAGTGTTCCCCTTAGGTTTGTGCTATGATTTTTAGTTCTTCTAAACCAGTATTTTACTATATTTAGACACGTAGCCTTTTGATAGATACAATCACATAAATGATGTCTCTATTTGCGCGGCTTGCTATGAAGTCAACCGTTGGCTCCGTAGTGGAGTCAACCTTTTATATACAACAAGTAAATCTACCATATTCTCTGATTACTTATATAACACTGAAGTGAATGGATTTCACCCGGACTCTTTCAACTCGAACGGCCTCCGTACCTGCAGAATCCAACGCTGGGGGTGACCCCGGCGTCGGGCCTCCGATGTCTAAGTCAGTGCTCTGATCAAGAGAGAGAGAGTGTAGTATCGAATGAATAAAGAATGAGAGAATGAGGTACCTTAGCCCCTTTTTTATAGGGGGAGTGTATCTTTGTGGGCTCAAGTTGGGCTTGGCCCATATCGTGATACTTAATCCATATGTGGGCTTATCTTCCAATATATATTCGTTTTCTCCATTAAACCGGGTGTAGTATAATATCATATATCAAACGCGAATATAATTTTATTAATATGGTAGGTTTATTTGTTGTATATAGAAGGTTAACTTCACTACGGAGCCAATTGTTGGCTTCATAGCAAAACCGTTCTATTTGTCTCTCTCTTTGTTCTTTTCTCCATTTGTCATGTTTAAATGAAATTATAATTGTATAAAAGAAATCTTAATTATAATGTAAAAAGTCAATTATAATAAGTGTTACTTCTAATATTACTGCAACTGTTAGCGGGAATAGACACATATTATATATTTTCAATAAACATGATATGAATATTCCTTATATTTTAATTAAGTATTTCCTATGTCTGATTAATTAATTGAATTTTGTTGATGGATTATATTAAATGTTACATATTAATATCACGAGGAACACAGAAAAAATATCTATATATATTTATATATATATTCTAAATCAATTGCCTATTTTCCCTAGTTGTCTTCTAAAAATGTGACGTTGTCTGATATATATAGATAGATAGCTTATGGGCTACGTGAAAGGTTTTGATCAGAAGCAGTGTATAATGGGCCCATATCTTTGAGTGGTAGAAAATACTTTATTGCACAAAACTTATATACTTTTAACATTTATTGACAAGATGTTTTTGTCTTTCTAGTTGAAAATGGAAAAGGAAATCTAACCAAATATATATGCTGCATGTTTTTGGTTTATTATTACACGGTTTTTCTATGAAGTCATCGGATGATTCGGTTTATGGAATCATTCATAGTTATTCATAAATGTATATTGACATGTGTTCTGGATTAAATACATATTGGACATATATCAGTACATAAAATTATGGATGACTCCATAAAATTTATGTATTATTATACGAGTTCTATTCTTTTATTCCTTACTATTTTTAATTGAAAAATGTCATTTAAGAAAAATCAAACAGTAGAGCCGAAATCAAACACCTGAATACCTGATACTCGAATTCGAGCCTTTCATTAACAAAACTTGCCGATAAACAAGTTTAATGAGTCGAGCTATAAAGTATTACATACAAATTTTCAGCTCGACTCATTAACTAAACGAGTTTCAATGAGCTCAAGCTGAACTCGTTAATCAAACGAATCAAATCAAACTCTAATTTTAACAAGATGACATGTTAATTTCGTTTAACATATCTAATCCACACTTAAGGCGTGATTTTGTATATGCAAATATTCATTCCAACTCAATTCACATTCAAAATTTAACTCAATTTCAACTCAATCTCACTATTCTCAATATTATAAATATAATTAAATAATATCAATCAACAATTCTTATATATCCCATCAAATTTAATTTACTACTCACCATTCACATAATTTGAACTAACTACTACTTCACATCATTTATCTCATACTATAATTATTTATTATAAATATTATTTAAATATAAAAACAAAATCATACTGATAACTAACCATACAATTTTTTTTACAAAATTAACTCTATAGTTAACTAAAGGATTTTTTTTTTTTTTTTCGAAGCGACAAATTCTATTACTCGGAACGAACAAATATATTTGTATAGAAACACCCTCTTAAGAATTTTACTTCACCTTCTTACTAAATGAATGAATGAATGAATTATGTGTAGTGACAAAACATGTGTTGAGTCTTTATCGAACGAAATGGCATGTGGGGCAAAGCTATTTATTTCTTCGGAATATAATAATTTACAGAATTTTATAAAAAGTATCTGAGTCCAATGACCTATTTTGCTCCTTTTCTGGTTGCAAAATTTCCACATATATTAAATCACCTTTCGAAGACGTTGAATTATTTTGTTTAAATGGAAAATAAACTAATCAATTAAACGATCAAATTCAAGGCAAAGTATAAGGAAAAAACATATAACTTAGAATTTACACAAATTCTTTAATAATACAGTCTAAACACTTAGAGATAATAAGTTTACACAAATTCTGGTATAATACAGTCCAAACGTATGATAATAGGATTTACTAATTTTAATTTATATAGAGTTTATACAAATTCTCGTGTAACGCGGTTTTTTAGTATTAAGTGGAGTTGTTGATCATATTTTAGCAATATCTACCATAGTACTACACTATATTACACGAGTGCTTGTTACAAAAACCAACATTAAATTGTCATCAAGTGGTAAAATATTTCATTTTCTGAAAAAAAAAAAAAAATGATATGGTAACTAAGTAACTAACCAAACAAAGCACTTTAGTAATTAAATTAAATTTCAAATTCGAAAATTAACATAAAACCTAGAAAAAAAAAAAAAAGCAAAGTCAATTAATCTATTTTCCAGGCCGCGCATATAAACCAAAAATCAAAAGTCAATTCGGACCTTGGCCGGATTCGGGTCCTCGTCACTTATGGGTAGGATCCTCCAAGTGCATGGCTCGTTCTTTTTGGACACGTGGCAGTACCCGTACAGCATCTCTGCAGACCCGGACCCGAATTGAACGGTCGTCAGTTTCTCAGACGAGTCGGGTCTCCGGACCTCCACGGCCCCGTTCATGCCTGGTCGACCAGCCGGAGGGTCCTCCTTGCTGTCACGACGGGCGGGTTGACCCGACGGGTGGGTTTCCTTGTTTTGGTGTTTTGTTGGCCAATTGAGCCAATTGAAAAGTTCCATGGCCAATGGTCACACGACTGAGTTATTGTAGAAAACTAGGGTTTATAGGGCTTTAGGATTATGAGATTATTGTAAATAAATAAGAATTAGAGTGAAAAAAGTAATTTGCTATTAAGAATAAGAAATCTTTAATAATCTACTGCTATATTTATATATACGGCTTGATATGAAATAAATAAATAATTGCAATAATTGAGTTCTATTCGTGAAAGGATTTCATAGTGCCGGTAACAATTTATTTATTTATTTTCAGGTTTTTCTTATGCCACAAATTTTTTTCCAACGATTTATAAACGTGCTCTAATATCCAATAAAACAGGCCTCAAATCATTAAAATTGGATCAATATATATATTCAGATATTTTTATTTAAAAGTAGTATAGTATGTTAGAAAAACGCTAAAGTCCCGTTACGTAATCAATTTGTCGGGTTTTGTAACCGTTAGATCATCATGTAACATCAATAATAGTTGATCTAATACAAACCCTGACAGAATGATTGTAACGAAACGAGCATTTTCCTAGTATGTTATTTGGCTTGTATTGATAATTTCATTAGTAGTTCCCAACGCTGAGAAATCGATTAGTGAGCATATGACATAATTTACTATATAAAAATTATATTACACATTCAAACTTCAATCTGCTACTATATGTATTAGTGTTCCGACAAAATAAAATTAAAATCGAGAAAAAATACTTATTTACTTGTCCTCAAAACTCTATTATTCCAAACCGAATAAAGTATAGTATGAAAAATGTCGTATTTCACGGGCTTACTATGCCACATGAAATGTCGTCTCACCATCTCCACCCTCTTTTGCATCACTAAATACCTCTCGTACGAAATTGAGACGATTATACCCTTCAGATTCGGAATATCCCTCTCGCGAACGAAAACCGCAAACGACTCCCACTTCAACACGTCGAAAAACGGAGGGACAAAATTGTCCGACACGATAACCGGCACGCATCCGTAGAGTATGGCCTCGACTACCCTCGGGCTGTTGACCTCATACCCCTTTGCACAAATGCAGTACTTGCTGTTCTTCATGTGCCACGTGTACCCTTTTCTCATTCGCCCGAATATCTTCATGTCGGGATCTTTGTTCTCCCAATGTTGTAATAGAATCGGGCGTACGTGGCCGTGCATTTGGCCCGCGAAGAAGGCCAATATTTTGCGTTTGGAGGGCGGTGGGCCCCCGAAATCCCTCATCGGGTTTTGAGGCGAATGTATGTACGTCTCGGGAAGCGAGACGTCCCTCCCGAAACGGAAGCCTTCCTTCACGTCCGAGTTGCATAGGGCCCGTGTGGAGTTCGCCATGAGTTGTCGGGTCTCGATCGGTGCCTGTAAGAAAATATTGTTTCCTGATATCACATTAACCGATTGATTTACTTTTACTATAATTATGTTTGGTAAAAAAAATTTAGCTAATATGAGAAAAGTGTGGTGAAATTAGTTCATAAGCTGATAAGCTATTCGACGGGCTTATATGAAAAGATACCCAAAGAAGCTTGGATCGGCTCAAACTTTTTAAAATGCTCATCCTACCAAACTAAGCTTATTTCACCAAATAAGCTTATTAGCTAACCAAATAAGCTATAAACTAGATTATGCTTCTTATCAAACACACTCTATATATGAACATTTCATTCTTTAACTATTAAAAAAACGTACCCAATCGTGGCACGCGACTAGAAAATGATCCCCGCCGTCCGTTCGATTCCAAAAAGGGTACCTTGTCTTGATCGTGCGGATGTAATTCTCTAAAAACTCGTTTATGTCGCGAAAAGTGTGGGAGTCACGCACGTAAACGTAGTCCACGAGAAGTTGGGAGCTGAACGGCAGGTAAAAGAGGTGGGCCACGTTCGGGTCGACGGTTAGAAACCGGCTGCTCGACTTTAGCTGCTTCATGAACCAGCCCTCGGACGAGTATATTCCCTTGAGCCTCGGCTGGTGGAAAACGGGCTTTTTCCCGTCTTTGTAGATGTAAATCTTGAGCTTCTTCTCCATTATTTCATATCCCCTGCATATATAATGTAATAACTTTACATTGTAATTTATAAATTCGTTGTCAATTGATCATGACTTAAAATTATGATGCTACTAATGTCACACTATAAAGTGCAGAATTAGGGATTTTGAGCCTTGAAATTCACCTCACAAACGACGAAAGATTTCGATAAATAGGCGCATATAGGCTCGGATGCTTCCTAACAATAGGCGAATGCTCGATTTCGAATCTTGCATCGACCAATTCTTGATCCGCATCCGAATGCCAGTGTGGGCTGATCTGCAATTATAAGATTTTGATCAAAAGTTCAAATCTTTCTGCTAAAACAACAAATTTTAGTTCATCAAGAAAAAATATACCATTGTGTCGGGGGATTCGCGACTACAGGCCAACATCTCGTTCATCTCGGACAAAGATACCACAGCCGGCAATGGGCTTTCCGGCTTTTCTTCCAGAGGCCCAATTTTCGTGGAGGGTCGATTTTCGTTACGGATATTTAAATTCGAAATTGTAGGAGCAAATGAATGAGACGAGGAAACAAATGGAGGCAAAGGACTATCAGCTTCAATGATGTTCCCAACCGAAAACCGAGAAATTACCGGGCTTTTTGTCGGGCCTGAAGAAATTTTGTCCTCTCGAGCGAAAGTTCTTAAAGACGGACTAATGTCGGCCACATTTTCGGGAGGGAAAATTGTTTTCGAAATATTTTTTTCACCGCCTGAATTCAGCATTGATGGGAATTTGACATTTGCATGAACAGAGGAGTTGGAATAATAGGACTTTTCTGAAGTAAACAGAGATAGGAATCTGTCTCGACACGGTAGCTCCAAAGACTGTATGATCAAAACCGACGCTATAATAAGCCCGATAAGCCATACGATTTTCCTCGTTTCGACTTGATATATGAAATCATTGCCCATAACTGATAAAAAAATCGCGATGAAATCCTTAAATTCCTGCAGTTTTACAAATTCAAAATCAAACAACTTAGCGAGAGAGTATATAGAATTAATTTGGATCAATTAGATTAGGGAGTGTTGTCAACTTTTTGTGTTAAGGAATAAATATAATCAAGCAAATAATGTAGCTGAAATTTTAAGTTTTTATTCTCAAATCAAGTGCCAATTAATTGTGATTTCTATTTTTTGGTTTCACATTTGATAGGCGAATTAACCTTTGTGTGAAATATAGATTTAAACAAAAAAAAAATAAAAAAAAACACTGTTTTTTTTCAGTTCAATTGGTAAAAATAGCCCAAAAATATATGCTCTCTATATGGTAGATTCATCCATGTATATTTATTGAGAGATTTAAAATCGGATTTTGAATCAAGTTTAAATCCTCACACTAAATGAAATTGAACCACAACCAGTAATTCAATTCCTTCACTTTCAAATCTCTCAATCAAGGAAGAAAACGAAATAAATGCTACAATCCCGTTACGGAACCATTCCATCGAGATTTATAACCGTTAGATCATCATGTAACTGTCGTGGATAGTTGATCTAACGGTTACCCGACCGTAAAATCTCCCCAATAGGCACAAGCAATGGTTCACTTAATTCAACCTTTTTTTCCCAATGCTTTGATTTATAAATGCCCAAGATAATATCAACAGCATATTAGCAGAAATTAACCCAAAAACACAGTTAATTTTTTTTTTTTTTTTT